TGGGGCCCTCCTGCAGCATCCCAGCGCCTCTGTGCCCAGCGGGCACTCCTGCCAGCGGAGAAAAGGCAGTGGCCATGCTCTGTCCCCTGTCCCACTCCGGGCCAGGCACAGATGCCCCCTGGGCATCCTTTCCTCTTGGGTGTTCCTGCTCTAAGGGATTCCCCTGGCCACCCCCTGCCCCACGGGCATCCCCAGCAGCACGGTCAGCCCCCAAGGCCAGGCAGGCTCTGTGGGCTCTTCCCCAAGGCTGCCCAGTCCTTTACCTGCTCCCAGCCCCGTGTTCTGTGTGGGCTTCAGGGTTAGGTTTCTGTGGGGTGATTTCATGGCTCTGAGCTGTCGCCTGGGAGGGGGCAGTGAGCCACAGCCCCCGTCCGGGGTTTGGTAGGCTCTGCAGTCCCCTCCTGAGCCACAGCACCCAGGGCTTTCTCTCTCATCACCTGTCCTCCTGCGTTGCTCCTGACGAAAGCCTTTGGCAAAACCTTTTCCTCTGTCAGAGGGACTTTCTCTGCGTGCAGCTTGTGCTGCTGCCTCTTGCCCTTCCCCAGGGCCCTGCCTGGAAGAGCTGGGTACCTTGTGTTTCTCCAGCCTCCCCCCCGGGTAGCCAGCAAGGAGACCCCTTCCCCATCAGCTGCACCTCCCCACTGCCTGTGTCACCCGTGTCCCAGGAGCCCCGAGGGGACACAGAGCCCCTGACCAGTTCCCCCTGCTCCTGACCCCTGGCAATGTGGTCAGCACAACTCTATGACCGACAGTGTCGTGCATTTGTTCCCTTCCCCTCGTTATCAGGCCTTGAAGGTCCTGTGCACCATGCAGACAAAACAAACAGATTTCTTCTTCCCCTCCCTACCAGCCTCAACGTTGCTGGGCACCAGGCCAGTTACTGCCTTCCTCTCTGGCCTTGAAGGTCCCAGGCACACAGCCAGCCTGGTGGTGGTGGCATCACCAGGAGAGAGCCCTGTCCCTGTCCTTGCTGCCCGCATGAGCACAGCCCAGCACCTCCCATCACAGCACACCTGGAGGAAGTATATTTTTTAAAATACTTTATTTTTTTTTTCTCAATACTGACATTACAAAAAGAAAAAAAAAAAAAAGAAGAAAATTACAAAAAAACCCACTATGAAACTTTCAGGTCTCATTGAAACCGAGAAAAACAAAGCAGCTTGCATCTGTGCGCTGGCCTGTCTTCTCGCTCGCAGTGTCCACCAGCTTGCTCTACGCTGAACTCCACAGGGACAATGGAGGGAATCGGCGGCATCCCCTCCCCGGCCAAGCCGGGCGATTAATTAAGCAGCGCCTAATGGCTCTCCTCACCCTGTATGATACGCTGTACACCCAGCCCTGATGGACATCCTGCGCTCACCCCCCCCTGCCCCAAAAGACCCCCTTGTTTCAAGTCAGTGATTTCTCTTTTAAAAAAAGTTATTCCCAGGGCAGGGGGAATATTTTGTCAGGGCTTTTCTCAGGGGTGCTGCAGTGGAAGAGGAGCCATACAAAGCCAGGTTGAACGTGCCTCCCACTCCGTAGGAGCCCTTTTCTGGGGGGGGAAAAAAAAAAACAAACCTGGCACGAGGCAGGATAGGCTGAGAAAGGTAAGAAATATAAAAATTCTCCTGATGGAAATCCAGAGGTTTTAAAAAAATACAGCATTTGAAAACTAAGCCACCAAGCAGATTGCCTCATGCACCTCCCAGCTCCACCCTGACACCCAGAAATAGCTCCTGAATTAATCGTCCCTGTAGAAAAATATATACACACACACCTTTCTCTTCTTACTGAAATCCCTAAGGTTGACCTCAAACATTAGTGAAACCCACAGCTCTGCTCATGCTTGGCTCTGCTTTTACACCC